TTCATCAAAACAAGTCACTGCTGCTGGAGGAAGGCTTGTCTGGGTTAAGGATGCTGAGCTATATATACATTTACTTACACACATTCCCCCCCCCCCCCTCTCCCCCCTCCCAGGATAAAAAGCTTACCACCAACAGTAGGCATCCCCTGTGACTTGGTGGGGAGGGGTCTGAACTCCAGATTCTTTATCAGGCTTTCTTTCTATTGTTGTGTTGAAATGACCTAATAGAAACAGCTTGGAAAAGGTTTGTTTTGACGCACAGTTTCAGGAGATCCAGTCCAAGGCATGAGGAAGCAGATCAGATCACCTCATGGCAGCCAGGAAGCTGAGGGAGAAAATGCTGTGTTTGCTGCCTTTTTTTTTTTTTTCCTTCTCGACATCTTATCCCATTGGCCCCTCACTTAGGGATGTCTCTGTCCACATTCAGTACAGGTCCTCCCCTCTGAATTATCCCTCCTGAACCGCCTTTACAGGCGCACCTCAAGTGTCCTTCACAAATCGCTGAGGTGTTTCTCAGGACATTCTAGTTCCAAGTCATAACTTTCTGCTTACTCTGTCATCTTACGCCACAGTACCTAGTCTTGAAAGCTATTAGTATGAAATGCATGATGTTTTCAGTTATGTCAGAAATTACTCTCACCTAATGTATCTGACTAGATTGGCCCAAATATATATAATCTTAATGTTTTTTTATACTTTGACATAATTTGAAAATACATTTCAGTTTCTATGAGCAGTAGCTTAGTGGCTGTACCCAACATGGTCTAAGGAGCACAATTACTCAAACTTTGGGAACAGCTAGCTGGGGAGCCATTAAGAAACCATGATTGCATGTGCTTTGAAAACTTCTCAGCATCTCCTTTGAGAATGGTGGAGGATAAAGAACAAGGGGGAGAAGAAAATGGCATTCCCCTGCTGACCTTTGATCATGTTCTTTAAAGTACAGTTGGACTTATGGCAATGGCAGTCGCATAACTATTAGTGGTGGAATTTCGTGTTTTCTAATTATGGCGTTTCTTTTTAGGAGCAGACATTAAGGACAAATTAAAATGTTATGACTTTGATGTGCATACAATGAAGACACTAAAAAACATCATCTCACCTCCGTGGGATTTTAGGGACTTTGAAGCAGAAAAGCCGAGCACAGAGGAAGCAGGGCTTGCACCTCTGGAAAACTCCACTAAAACTCCAGACTCCAGACCTCCCTTGGAAGAAACTTTTGAAATTGAAATGAATGAAAGCGACATGATGTTAGAGACATCTATGTCAGACCATAGCACCTAACTCGAGACAGTGGTCCAGGACCCACCCCACCCCTGAGCTAGCGTAGGTCAGTATTCCCTTGCATCCTTGCTAGTCTTAAGAATGGCCCACTTCCTAATGTGAGTCTAAACCACATCTCTATGTTGAGGACCAGTGGCCTGAATTAAGAGATGGGATAGCACACCTTGGCGGCAGATATATTCTGATCTTCTGAATCTACAAAGTAGTTATACATAGTCGAATAAAAAAGACAAACTGTTCATTGTGTCTTTCTTTTTCAATAAAGACTTTAAAATAACTTTTGAGAAACGTTTCCAAGGTAGTAGAGTGTATCAGTTACCTTTCTGTTGCTGTGATAAAATTCTGTGATCAAGAGTTTATTTCTTACAGTTTCAGAGGGATGAGCTTTGCTGTGCTGGAGAAGCAGGCAGCAGGCAGGCATGGTAGCTAGCTGGACTGGGAAGCTAATCACATCCCAACCACAAGCATGAAGCAGAATGAACTAGAAGTAGATGGAGGACAAATATTTTCAAAACCTGCCCCAGTGACACATTTCCTCTGCAAGATTTTACCTCCAACACACACACCCCCCAATGGTGACTGGGAGGACCAAGTAAGTGTTCAAATGCCTAAAATATGGGGAGCATTCTCATTCAGTACCACAGAGAGTATGTCCCTTACCTGCTGTGTCCCTATGTTAACATCTTACTATTACCATGACACTGATGTGGTGTTCTTCTCTCTAGTTTTCCCCAAGGTTCTTTTCTTGTTCCAGCACTCTGGAGGCAGAGGCAGGTGGATCTCTAAGTTCAGGACCAGCCTGGTCTATGCATTGAGTTTCAGGACAGCCAGAATTATATTAGTGAGACCATATCTTTAAATAAAAATAAGAAATGGGCCCATGAAATGTAGGTCTTGCTACCAAGACCCTTAGTTCAGTCCCTGGAACTCATGGTGAAAGGAACTGCCTTCTCCAAGGTATGTGAGGACACAGAGGTACACTCAGTCAATACATAATGTCTGGCTGATAACCGACTATCTTGGCTGATACTCATCCAGCTCTTAACTGTTGTTTACAAGAACATTTTTTCTTATTTTCCTTTCAACGGTGGCTATATAAAGTACATCTATGTGTAATCAGACTTTTCTTTGAGCTACCTGCTCACAAATAACAACACAGAGGCCCATCATTAACTATGAGAGGTTGGCCCCAGCCTAGACATGTACCACCAGCTCCGACAACTCAACCCATTTACCTTAGTTCACGTTCTGTGGTGTGGCTTGTTACCTATCCCAGGTCTCCATTCTGGGCATGCCGTTTCCTCTGTATCAGGCTGACAACTGTCTTTCTTCCCAGTGTCCTCTTTATCTCCCAAAGCCCCACCTAACCTGTTCCTAACTATTGGCCGAACTATTACACCAATCAGAACAATACATTTTTACCCAGTGTACACGTCTATGCATCACAACCTAGGTAAAGCTCAATGAGAGTAAAAAAATTTTTTTTTGGTTTACGAGACAGTGTTTCTCTGTATTGTTTTGGAGGCTGTCTGTCCATCCCAGCCACGAACTCACAAAGATCCACCTGCCTCTGCCTCCTGAGTACTGGGATTAAAGGCGTGTGCCACCACCGCCTGGCTCAAGAGTAAGATTCTCTTAAAATAGTATCTGCTCTTGTACATGAGTGTCTGTGTGTGTGCGCGCACATGTGTGTGTGCACATATGTGGCAAGTGCATTTCATTGTATATAAACAGGAATATGTGCCACTGTGAAGGTCAGTCCTCAACCTTCTGCCTTGGTAGAGTCAGCATGTGTTTACTGCTGTTGCTCCAGGCTAGCTGGCCCGCAAGCTTCTGGAGGTTATATTCCTACTTCCCGCCTCCCGTTGGAACAGTGGTCTAGCAGACGGTTTTGTCCTGAATGCCCCCACATGAACCTTCATATTTGAGCCATTCTGTTTTTGAGTTCCACATTGTCTGCTCCTTTTACAGAAATTAAACGAAAAGCAAGCTGGACAGTGGTGGTGCATGCACGCCTTTAATCCCAGCACTCCAGAGGCAGAGGCAGAGGCAGGCAGATCTCTGAGTTCGGGGCCAGCCTGGTCTATGGAGCGAGTTCCAAGACAGTCAGGATTACACAGAGAAACCCTGTCTTGAATCTCCTCCCCCCAAAAAAGAAAAGAAAAACAAAAAGCATACGCCCTCCAAAGGAATAACTCCTGTGGATTCTCTATTTAGATGTATCATTCCTAATGTCTCCAGTTCTTAGTGATTTCCATTAGCCCTTAGAACAAATTTGATGCAGTTGACTGGCATCTTTGGCTAGTAATTTTATGTCTGGCCTTCCTCAGTTCTTGTCAAATCTTTTCCCCCCTGTGTCAGCCATATCTTCCAGATTTTTCCTATGCTTTGTAATTTTTTAAATTTTTATTTATTTATTAAGTATACAGTGTTCTGCCTGCATGCCAGAAAAGGGCACCAGATCTCGTTACAGATGGTTGTGAGCCACCATGTGATTGCTGGGAATTGAACTCAGGAACTCTGGAAGAGCAGCCAGTGCTCTTAACCTCTGAGCCATCTCTCCAGCCCCCTATGCTTTGTAATTTTGTGCTGAGAAATGCACAAGTTAAATAGTTTGCTTCTTTTAATAATTTAAATTTTATTTAAAATGGATTTCTTTCATATATTTGGACCACAGTTTGGAACGGATTCCTCAGCTTGCCCGTTTGTACAACCCAGGACCACCTGCCAGGGATGGCACCGAGTACAGTTGACTGAACCCTCACACATCAGTCATTAACCAAGAAACTGCCCCTTGGGCTAATCTGATGGAAGCCATTCCTCAACCGAGGTTCCCTTTTCCTTTGTGACTCTAGCTTGTGTCAGGCTCATAAAACTAACCAATGCCGCTGACCACTTACCAACTTGACACCATTAAACCATAACCTTTCCTTGTTTATACCCCCAAGATATTAATAATGCTACAATATAAAATACAGCACAACCGTAAAAGTCCCAGTCTTTAAAAATGTGTTAAAAGTTCAGTGACTCTCCTGGCCCAGTCTGCTACAAAGAGCCTTGTCTGCGACACTGATGCTTGAAGTCTTGGCATGTGTTTTTTGAGTCTTTAGCCTATTTAAAATGTCACATTTCAAGAGAGTCAATATCAATACAGGACATCACTGTGAAGCCTGGGCTCATTTAAATCTCTACATTTCTGATGTTCTCATTCTCTCAGGACAAAGGTGCTATAACTAAAAACTACATCCAGCGGTGAAGATGTAAAATTTGAGCACTCAGGAAAACTGTGTCGCTCCTACGTCTACAGAATAAAAATGTTTTTAGTTGCTGTGCTGTCCCAGTGACTCTGAGTGGGGCCAGAAATTGCTCTGTGCCCCTGGGGCCTCCCGGTCTAGACCATCGTGGATGCCATCCGCATAGCAGGCCAGCAGCACACAGGGTGTCGGAGGAAGCGTGCATTTGTTTTGCATGCACAGTGAGACAGCACTGATTTCCTGTCGTCGCCGTGGTAGGATGCTGAGGACTTTTTCGGAAAAGGCTGTTCTGAGTACACGTGTCAACTTGGAGCACTACGAGGGAGCACTCAGAGCCGGCGGGGGGTAGCACTGGCACCGCCCCTTCCCCCGTCAGGGCCGGGGAGGGGACGCTGGACATCGAATGCCAAGGGAGGGGCCGCCTAGTCCTCGCGAGGCTTCGTTGTCGCGGAGGAGGCAGGCGGGCGGGCGGCGGGTGGGGATGCGCTCGGAAGAGGGGGCCGGAGGCCTGAGCACGGCCCTGTCTGCGCGGGGCCCCAGCTGGAGGGAGAAACTGTCAGCCGCGGAGGTCCCGTTCCGCCGCGAGTCGCCGCGGAGGGACACCGCAGTGGCCCCAACCCAGTCCTTCAGTGACAGCGGGGCGGGCAAGCCTCGCGACGACAAGAGGACGGCCCTGAGCAAGGTGGGGGCGGAGCCTCGGCTCTCCCGTGGGGGCGGGGGCGGCCGTTCTCGCGAGACGACGGCTCCCAGCCCGGGGAGGGGCGGGGTTTGAGGGGAACGGTGCGGCGTGCTCGCCTTAGGGGCGGGGCCGCGGCGGCGTCTCCTTAGAGATGCGAGCTCGCCGCCCGGTGGGCGGGGCGGGCCGCAGCAGCCGAATGATGAACCGTGGTCCTCCCAGGTGGTGCTCCGGCGGCTGCCCCCCGGCCTCACCAAAGAGCAGCTGGAAGAGCAGCTGCGCCCCCTGCCTGCGCACGATTACTTCGAGGTGGTAGCTGCGGATCTCAGGTGAGGGCTGCCGCGGGGACTCAGGGGACGGACGGACCGAGGACCCGGCGGCGATCAGAACCGCAGTCTGGGCCCCTTCCAGCCGTCAGTGCACGCCCACGTTATGGATGGGCAAGCCACCGTGTCTCGACGTACGGAGCCGCGGTGCGCCGGTGGCACCGCGCTGTTTGGTCCTTTGTGCTTCGATGCCTTCCTCCACGTAGTTTTTAATAAGTTGTGTGATGGGAAAACCCAGAGTGCATCCCCTGTACACCATGTCTGGAGTGTTTTCGCTAGTGAGGGACCTGTAACAGAGCCCCCGAGGGATTGCCACCGTCAACACCACCACCCAGTCAGACAGGTTCTCGGCCTGAGGAGATTGCAGCAACACAGGGCTGGCCTAACCAGCAGACGTCAGTGCCTTTGGGATTCGTGATTTTTCACGATTTTTATGTCCTTTTTGTGTCCTTTTATGTTCTCATTTCTTTTTGGATACCTATTTTTTGTTTAAAAAAGTCTTCAAATAAAAAATATAAGTAATTGCTAAACGGGTATCATTTGAAAACTGCAGGTGGTTTTCAGGTGGCTGAAGTTTAGAAAAAGTTAAAACAGGGAGTGACTCAGGGTACAATCCCAGCCCCTCCTTGTAAATTGCACCCTCCCTATGAACGAACTTCTCTGTCCTTTACTGTTCTCCGTGAAATGGAATTGAGAAGTTCCCACCTGTGAAAAGAAGTGTGGCTGAGACAGGGAGAATGGTTTCATTTTTCCTAGGTACCAGTGCCCCTGGTACTTCCCGTCCAAAAAGACTCACAGTACAGCATTCTCGTCCATGAAGGAGCTAGGACTAGTCTTGTCCTTGATGTACCAGGAATGACTAAGACTATGCATGGCCTTTGGGTAACTTCTGAAGTCTAGTACTCGTTTGTTTTTCGAGACAGGGTTTCTCTGTGTAGCCCTGGCTGGAACTCGCTCTGTAGACCAGGGTGACCTGCCTCTGCCTCCTGAGTGCTGGGATTAATGGTGTGTGCCACCACCGCCTGGCTGAAGTCTACATTTTAACCTTGTTTATGTACAGTAGTGACGCTCCTGAGTAGTCAAGACTTCAGTTAATGCTTGGTTTTTTGTTTTGTTTTTTTCTTAAGAATATCCAGACTGCTATAATTAGCCGAGAAGTGATTCTTTGGCATGAAAAGTATTTCCATATTAATAAAGGTAAACAAGGCAAAACTAAGGGAGTCGTGCAGTTTTATTTTTAACGTTTTTATTGTTACGTCATATTCCAGTCTCTATCCTCATCTCTACTCAAGAGCTTACATTAATTTTCGGAACCCTGATGACATCCTTCTGTTCAGAGACCGCTTTGATGGGTATATCTTCATCGGCAGTAAAGGTGAGGTCCTGTGTGTGTGTGTGTGTGTGTGTGTGTGTGTGTGTGTGTGTGTGTGTACTTATTTGTGTGTCTGTGTGTGTATATTCCTCTGTGTGTATATACTTGTGTGTCTGCGTATATATACACACTTCTGTGTGTGTATACTCATCTCTGTGTGTGTACACTTGTGTTCCTGTCTTCATTATGCACAGTTGTTGAGGTTAGCATGAAGTGTATTCCAAGTAAGTTCGACTTATAGCATCAGAGCACTTGTATTACTGACAAGGTTTAAAGTGATACCGCTCAGTGGTTTAATTCAGAGGTGCAGTGTTCCATGTGTTGGTTAAAGCCTAGTAACAGAGAATATTTCTTTATGTGTTCATCTTCCTTTCCATATAACAACAAAATGGGTCCCTGCTGCTTTCTTTTTTTAATTTATTTATCTATTACACATACAATGTTCTGCCTACATGCCAGAAGAGGGCACCAGATTGAATTGTAGATGGTTGTGAGCCACCATGTGGGTGCTGGGAATTGAACTCAGCACCTCTGGAAGAGCAGTCAATGCTCTTAACCTCTGAGCCATCTCTCCAGCCCCTGTCCCTGCTGCTTTCTTATTCAGCTTTGTTCAAAACAAACCTTACATAGACTATAACACCAGTCCTTGAGGTCTCCAAACCCGTTAGCCCTATGTTTCTTTTAAGCAGAGTAATTTCCTGGAGCCTAAATAACTCCTCAGGAGTTGAATTGGCATCTTGACATTAATTATTTTTAATTTTTTTATTTTAGGTGTATGTATGTGTGCATGCCTGAGTGCATGTGTGTATACCATGTGTATGCAGGCATCCGCAGAAGCCAGAAGAGGGCATAAGATTCCCTGGAACTGGAGTTACAGGTGTTTGTGAGTCACCTAATGTGAGGTGCTCAGAACCAAATCCAGAATGTCATAGAACCCAGTGCAAGAATGTGATAGACTCTTAACCCTTGAGCGCTCTCTCTAGCCCATAACTTCTTAAATTAAAATGGCTGAAGTGGGGCTGGAGAGATGGCTCAGAGGTTAAGAGCACTGGCTGCTCTTCCAGACAGAGGTCCTGAGTTCAATTCCCAGCAACCACATGGCAGCTTCAACTGTCTGTAATTCCTGTTCCAAGAGATTCAACGTACTCACACAGACATACACATAGGCAAAAACAACAGTGCACATTTTTAAAAAAATATCCTGCTTTAAAATAGTTGACTGTAACTAGAAAAACAACAAAAACTGACTGGAAGAGAAACCCCGTCTTGAAAAAACAAAAATAACAACAACAAAACAAAATTGACTGGTGATACTCCTCCCATACATTATTTGGAAGTGATATGGAGTAGCTGGGTTTCCACCCTTTTTAAAGTGGGCAGTGGGGGGCTGGAGAGATAGCTCAGAGGTTAAGAGCACTGACTGCTCTTCCAGAGGTTCTGAGTTCAATTCCTAGCAACCACATGGTGGCTCTCAACCATCCATAATGAGATCTGGTGCCCTCTTCTGGTGTGCAGACATACATGAGGCAAGATGTTGTATTCATAATAAATAAATAAAATCTTAAAAATAAATAAATAAATAAAATAAAGTGGGCAGTGTGTGGTTGTGAATGACCCCGCAGAGCCGTGCCTTGTAGGGGGACTTGCGTCCTTGCCACCTGGTCTTCCCAAAGCAGTCACCTTGTCGTCTGTATGCTTTAGCTCCGTGTGAGTCAGATCATTGTTTCCCAAAGTGGAGATAGTAGAGTTTCACAATGATGTTTGCCAATTGTCTCCATAAAAGGCCTGGAGTACCCCGCAGTGGTGGAGTTTGCTCCATTCCAGAAGATTGCCAAAAAGAAGCTGAGGAAAAAAGATGCCAAGACTGGAAGCATTGAAGATGGTGAGACCTTTTCAAAGGCTGATATAAACCCCCAGACTAAATGTACTGACCAGACATTGCCTGTAGGTGGAAGGGGGATGGATGCATTCATTCATTCATTCTGTTTTAAATTTTCAGACCCAGAATATAAACAGTTTCTGGAAACATACAGTCTGGAGGAAGAAAAATCCAGTGCTAGTCCTGAGACACTTCTGGGAGAGATAGAAGTGAAGACAAGAGAACTCCTTGGTCTGTCTTCCCCATTTCTTTATTGAGATACTTACCAATGGAGTATGTATTTAACTCTCCTTTTTTAAAGGAGAGGGTAAAATTTCTTTTTGTTACAGGCCTGGTAGAAATAGTGTTTTGTACTTCCGGCAAAAGAGTAATGGTGTGGAGAAATGTTTTTGAACCTTTGTTGATAAGATGTTTTTAGGGTCTTCATTTAAAACGATGATGCTTCCAGAGACAAATGTATGGTCTTGGCTGGGTCAGAGCGAGCCTTCCAGGGAAGCTAACAAGATTATCGTCACCCATGTTTCTCATCTATGAGATTAGTCAGACATAGATTTTGATCTTCAAACACTTAATAGACCTGCGTAATATGGCATTTAAATGTTTTAATATTAGTACCCGTTGACATGAGACACAGATGCTCCTGACAGCACTGAGCTATTCCCGAGAATATGTTAGGCACCAATGTCACTCCTTCTGGAGTCCGTTCTCTCCTCGGCTAATGGCCTCTTGGACAAAGAATGGCCCCCACCTCAACTGCTGACTTTGGACATGCTGTCCTACTGTGCTTGCAGGAGATAAAACGTAGAAGACTGCTGAACCCTGCCATGTCAGGGTAAGACAGCCTTCTGTGTTGGTCAGTCAGATATTCCAGGCCTTAACCAAAGCTGGTTGCCCTGACGTTGCTGTGAGACTTTAGGTGACTGTCCAGGTAGCCTGCTGTCTTCGCTGCACCTTTGGAAGCTGCTCCCCTGTGCTTCCTGCCTACCCTGGTATTGTTATCTTCCTTCTCAGGTCTTTGATGAGGCTGAAGACTAGACTGTCACAATTATTGTTCTCTCTTCCTAGATAGAAATGTTAGTTACAAGACTTAAACTTTCCAGCTTAGGACAACCCTATAGCAATCTCTGTTATGTGTTTACCCTAGGACTGGATGTGTAGTTCTTGTCATTTGCTCTCGTTGCTTCACTGGCAATAGGTCTAAGTGTGTTTGTTCTTACTTTTCCTTCTAGAGCACACTTGGTATTTGCTCTCTTTGTATATAGTTCTGTGTCAAGCCTAAATCTTTTCTTTAGACTAAAAGGGGAATTGCAGTGAGACATCCACCCTGCCCGCACCTGTTGCACTGACCACCCCGTTTAGGCGTGTTCACAGGTGCTGATGTGACAAGGGAAGGCTAGGTCTGGGGTCCTGGACCCCATCTCGCTCTCTTGGTTCCGGTTGGGTCACAGAGAGCAGTCTGGGTGTGGCTCCTTGGAGCTGGAACTTGTGGGTCATCAGTTTCTTATGTAAGTGACTTCTCTGGGAATAAAATTACAGATTATCATCACCCATGTTTCAGCTAGAGTGTAGGGTCTGCTTGAATTTCCTTCATGCTTCCTCCTAGATTGGTGTGTTTAGAAATGTCTGTCTCCTGTAGTAGGCCACAGAAAATGCACGGGCCGACACAAAACACCTTTAGTTTTCACCAGGAGATCTTAGCTTAGTTCCAGACACACCTGCATGTTCCATTTCCAGCTGGTCTCAGGATAAAAACCTCTTCTCAGGGGCTGGAGAGATGACTTGGAGGTCAAGAGCGTTGGTTGCTCTTCAACAGGAGACAACTTGGAATCCCAGCACCCAAAGGGTGCCTTACAGCCATCTATAACGCCAGTACCAGGAGTCCAGTGCCCTCTCCTGGCCTCTGTGGGTACTGCACACACACATGCAGGCAGACTACCCATGAACTATAAAGTAAGGATTTTAGAAAACAAAACCCTTTTCTCGTGGCCGGGCGCCCCTTCTATGTTCTGCTCGCTTGTCAGGACTTGTGTCACATCTCAGGTGTAACTGGTTTGTCAGTCTCCACGTGAATTCCCTGCTCAGTTTCTCCCCTTCCACAGTGCAGCTGTGTTTTCATCTTTGTTGTTGCGGGAAAGAGACGATTAGAAGTTGAGCGTATGGTGAATAAACGGACTGCAGAGTCTAGAGCTCTATAGGAACAGAATGTAAGCTTGTGATTGAAGAGTTGTACGGAACTCTAGTGTTGAGCCCTGAGCCCTGGATTCCTTCCAGGGGATGGAATCGTTGCTCTGTCCAAGGTGGATGATGAAGCAGGGACTGACCGATGTCTGGCTCCCCAGGGGCAGGTGCTGTGGTCCGCTGAGCACGTGCTTTAGAGGCCGGACACTGGGGGAGAAGGGGAAGGGAGACTGAGGGGTGAGGACGCCCAGGGCAGCCAGAACTAGACCAGGGGTCTCAGATGAGCAGACAGCTAATTGCATATGTTCACATAATATATGTGTGTGTGTGTGTGTGTGTGTATGAATGTATGAATACACACACATATGTATATAGTACATAGAGAAAGTGGAGAAAGATACTTTTGAGACAAAATTTGAGGTTTGATTTCAAAACTTGTTCTGTTTATGGAGTTAGCAAAAGCAAATTAGGTATCCTTAGAACTCACTTTCAACCCCTTCCTCCTATTTAAGTGTCCCTTGTTACAGGGTCTATCACTCCAGGCCACTTTTGAGATGTCCTTTTTTGTGGATCAGGTTTGAGTTTTACTCCTACAGAGGGAGGGCCTCTGTCCTTGTCATCTCAGCGCCCCTTATATTACCAGTAGTGGTCACATACTGACACCGCTTGTGCCAGGGCCTCCCTCTTAGCCCTAGTGCGAGCAGCTCATTCATTCCAGAGACAGACCCTGGAGGACACTTCTGCTTTTCAGTTTGAATTTTCACCGTGCAGTTAACAGTAGTCGCCATTTTTTCTTATCTTTCAGTCTTCCATGAAGTTTCATGACCAAGCCTAACAAACACAGTTTAAATAAAATCATCATAAACTCACTTTGGCAGAAGCTCTGATGTTGTTAAGTTAAGCTAGGACTTTGGAATGGGCAGACCTAGGATTGGTTCTGAGACTTGGTACTTTATGGCCTTAGCAAACCTCATCATCTCCTTGGACCTTGTAAAGTTTTGTGATACAGTTAATTAGGGAAGAAGGAGGGAGGTGTGTCCATGTTACTACACTTTATCTTGGAATCCATTGTTGTGCTAGTCTCATCACCAAAGTAGCTCTTTAAAATAAATCCATTTCCGCCAGACTGATTACATCCGCGGCCACAGCCCCTGCCAGCATCTGACCGTGTCCACTGTATTTAAGGCTGAATATCATTTGACCTGTCAAGTCAGGCTATCAGAGGTCCTTGGTTTGAACTTAGGGACCCATGTCCAGGGACTTTCTCACAAATCGCGCTCCTGAGCCTCACAGTTCTGGAAATGTCATGCCAACTCTCAGGTGTCCCCAAGGGTTCTCCACAGCCCCATTCAGTCTGAGATCTTAAAAATCTGTGCAGACCCAGACCATCCCACCTTCTCACCGTGTCCTTACGTTTGGAGGCCGTGGAACTCCCCCTTTTGGAACCAGTCCCCTGGAGACACCTACCTGTAGGCCTGTGACATGCCGGGGCACCTGACTTCCCAATCAGACATGAGGGGTGAGGAGGGGGAGAGGTGATGTTAAGGTAGCAGCTGTGGATATGCTCTTTAGATAAGTGGAATGGTGCTTTCTGGAATCCTTCTTCTTCTTCTTTTTTGGTTTTTTTTGTTTGTTTTTTGTTTTTTCGAGACAGGGTTTCTTTGTATTGTTTTGGAGCCTGTGCTGGAACTTGCTCAGTAGATCAGGCTTGGTCTCGAACTCACAGAGATCCACCTGCCTCTGCCTCCCGAGTGCTGGGATTAAAGGCGTGCGCCACCACTGCCCGGCTGGAATCCTTTTTCTAAACTTCAGTATTTAGAGTTAATGTCATAGTATTCTGGTTTTACTAAGTTTAAAAAGATTAATTACCTGGAATGATAAGGACAAGAAATGTTCTGTTTGGGGCTTTGGAATACTTGTATATATGTAATAAAGTATTGAGGAGATGGAACACAAGTCTCAATATAAAATTTGTGTTTCTATGTATTTTAAACACACAGTCCAAAGGCAGTTTTATTCAGCATTTATAATGCTTCCCTGTTTGACTGACCTGTCACATAAACCACATGTAGAATTTCCCACTGTGTCATTATGTCAGTGCTCAAAAGCTTCGGTTGAGGCATTTCAGAGTCTGGACTTTTAATTAGAGGGCATGTGTTAAAGACTTTGTATTCTGGGGCTGGGGAGATGGCTCTGTGGTTAAGAGCACTGGCTGCTTCTGCAAAGGACCCAAGCAGTTTCCAGCAACCGCGTGGCCGCTCGCTGCCATTGCTAACCAGTTCCAGGGAGTCTTGACACCCTGTTCTGACCACCACAGACACTGGGCTTAGACATGCATGCAGACAGAACACTCATACAGTAAAACTAAATAAACCTAAACACACACACACACACACACACTAAAAAGTGGAAAAGCAAAACATCAAACGGCTTGCATGGCATCAAAGTAAATAAGTAACTGTTGTGACTACTTTAAGAAAAAGAATCGTGTGCCTTTTTCTTCACTGTTGCCTATGCTCCGGTAAATAACGCTTACCTATAGTCCTATAAACAGTCACCAAACAACAAAACAGAAGGTAGACCATGGAAGCAGGAGGGTTGGCGGGGAAGAGAGAGGGGCCTGCAGGAGCGGGAGGGGTCAAGGGTGGACCACAGAGTATACATGTGATCAAAATACATTATAATGCATGTATGGAAATGTCGTAGTGACCATTGTTGTATGTAATTGATACATGCTAGTAAGTGTAAAAGAATGGCATGCCCACTGTATGCAAATTACTTGAATCTGTAATAATAGAATAAGAATGCCCCGGGCACAGTGCATGCTCATGCAGATTTTACAGATAATAGTCTTCCCCTAATTATTTTAATATTAAATTGAAAACAAGCATCTTAAGTAAATCTCAATCTAGAAGTGATAGGTAATGTATGACAATTTCTGTTCTTTAGCCAGAAGAACCACACCTCTTTTGGAATATATTAAAAATAGAAAACTAGAAAAACAGGTAGGTGATGTCTTACCTGGTGAATATCTATCGTGTGCCCGCTGTTTCCATCCACAAATTTACTATGTATTTATTTGGCTGTGCCTTCAGAGAATTCGAGAAGAAAAGCGTGAAGAGCGGAGGAGGAGGGAGCTGGAGAAGAAGCGTTTGCGGGAGGAAGAGAAGAGGAAAAGGCGAGAGGAGGAGCGGTGTAAGAGGAAAGAGGCGGACAGACAGAAAAGGACCGAGAAGGAAGTGAAGATTAAGGTGACTTCCAGGAACAACTCTTTCTTTCCGCATCCTCACACAGCTGTGCACTGAGGAGACTCTGCAGCAGTGCATCCTCACAAGGCTGTGCACTGAGGAGATTCTGCAGCAGTGCATCCTCACACAGCTGTGCACTGAGGAGATTCTACAGCAGTGCATGCTCACATGGCTGTGTGCACTGAGGAGACTCTGCAGCAGTACATCCTCACACAGCTGTGCACTGAGGAGACTCTGCAGCAGTGCATCCTCACACAGCTGTGCACTGAGGAGACTCTGCAGCAGTGCATCCTCACACAGCTGTGCACTGAGGAGACTCTGCAGCAGTACATCCTCACACAGCTGTGCACTGAGGAGACTCTGCAGCAGTGCATCCTCACACAGCTGTGCACTGAGGAGACTCTGCAGCAGTGCATCCTCACACAGCTGTGCACTGAGGAGACTGCAGCAGTGCATGCTCAAACAGCTGTGTCTAAGGAGACTCTGCAGCAGTGCATCCTCACACAGCTGTGCACTGAGGAGATTCTGCAGCAGTACATCCTCACACAGCTGTGCACTGAGGAGACTCTGCAGCAGTGCATCCTCACACAGCTGTGTGCACTGGGGACATTCTGCAGCAGTGCATCCTCACACAGCTGTGCACTGAGGAGACTCTGCAGCAGTGCATGCTCACACAGCTGTGTCTAAGGAGACTCTGCAGCAGTGCATCCTCACACAGCTGTGCACTGAGGAGACTCTGCAGCAGTGCATCCTCACACAGCTGTGCACTGAGGAGACTCTGCAGCAGTGCATCCTCACACAGCTGTGCACTGAGGAGACTCTGCAACAGTGCATGCTCACACAGCTGTGTGCACTGGGGACATTCTGCAGCAGTGCATCCTCACACAGCTGTGCACTGAGGAGACTCTGCAGCAGTGCATGCTCACACAGCTGTGTCTAAGGAGACTCTGCAGCAGTGCATCCTCACACAGCTGTGTGCACTGAGGAGACTCTGCAGCTTGCATCCTCACACAGCTGTGTGCTGGGGTGGGAGAAGGCCTGAGGCTCTGGCCTCCTGATGCGGAATGGGCCGCAGTACCCGAATGTTCCCCGCCTTAGATTTTCCTGAAGCACATCCCTGAGTACCACCTGCCGGCTTCTCTGTGTCCTGCCTCAGCACCTCAGAACCCAAACGCACACCCCAGGCTCAGCACCCACAGGTTTCACCCTCCTGTCCAGTTTTTTCCAGGCTGACTTGGTACTCGCTTTGTAGACTGTGTTGGATTTGAACTCACAGAAACTTGCCTGCCTCTGCCTCTGTGCCTCTCTGCCTCCCTCTCTGCCTCTATCTCTGCCTCCTCTGCCTCTGCCTGAGTGCTGCGACTAAAGCACTACTATAGCCAATAAGTGCTAATCCCTTCAGAAACTCTGTCTTCCTTATCCCAACTTTACAGTGACTTCTTTGACCAGGCTGCAGAATTTTCAAATCTTTCTGTTCTTATCTTTCCCTCTCAATTCCCACTGTAAATCTAGTTAAAAGAAGCCAGCAGTAGCCGGGCGGTGGTGGCGCACGCCTTTAATCCCAGCACTCGGGAGGCAGAGGCAGGCGGATCTCTGTGAGCTCGAGGCCGGGCTGGACCGACAGCCTCCAAAACAATACAGAGAAACCCTGTCTAGTAAAACCAAAAAAGAAGAAGAAGAAGCCAGCAGTAACCATGCCATAGGCTGAATGCTATGCTGTCTGGAAATTTCCTCCATCAGATTACTTAGTCCATTACTTTTACACTCAGCCTCCCACAAAGTGTCAGGACCTGGACAGATGTCAGCAGTCTGCCAGCAACTAACACAGATAGCTTGTGCTCTCATTTCTATTGAGCTCTTGGGCATTCCTGTTGGCATTCCAGTCATCCACACTCCTCCTGGTATTTATGGCTCTTTGTTTTGTTTAGTTTTACTTATTTATAGCTTTTTAGTACTAGGAACTGAACCCAGACAAATGCCTGTCACTGAGCTATGCCCCCGGTTTTATCCTATATTATTTTGTTCATTTTTCTTTTTTTAAGATTTTGTTATTATGTGTAGTGTTCTACCTGCATGTTGTTTGCCTGCACACCAGAAGAGGGCACCAGACCTCATCACGGATGGTTGTGAGCCACCATGTGGTTGCTGGGAATTGAACTCAGAACCCCTGGAAGAGCAGCCAGTGCTCTTACCTGCTGAGCCAACTCTCCAGCCCCATTTTTATTTTTTTCTTATTGAGACAGAGTCTCATGTTGCCCCGGCTGGCCTTGAAATCACTGTGTATCTGCAGATGACATTAAATTACTTTTAAGATGAATTTTTTTTTTATTCATTCACTTATCTAGAGGCAGAGTCTCATGTGTCCCAAGCTGGCCTCGAACTCACTATGTGGCTGAGACTGGACTTGAACTTCTTATCCTCCTGTCTCTGCTTCCCGAGTGCTGAGATTATGCCACCACAGCAAGTTTACATGGTGCTGGGGATCAAACCCAGGTCTTTATACCTGCTAGACAAGCAGTGTACAGGTTGAGCGGCAAGTCCTTAGCCACTGTTTTTGGTTGGCTTGTTTTGTTTTTTAAGACAGAGTCTCAAAAGCTCAGATTGGTCTTGCCCTCACTATGTAGCAATGGCTCCTGCCTCAACCTCCTGAGTGCTGGAATTGTAGACATTAACCTCCATGCTCAGCTTCAGAACTGTCCTTTGGGCCAGCGACACTCTAGGGCTTTTGTAGCCTGCATCTCCAAAGGTTTCCAAACAAGTTCCAGTGAACCACATGGTCAGGGTCGGCCATGGCCAAGCCCCCACTCTCTGGTACCATTTTTTTCTTTCTTGTACTAATGAGCTTTGTGCAGCCATAGCCAGAGCACCTGACAATAATAACAAATGGAGACGGGTTTGTTTTGGTTCGCAGTTTCAAGGATTTCAGTTCCCAAGCCCTGGCTCCACTCCTCCTGTGCCTACGGCTTGGCAGGACGTTAGGGTGTGGATTCATGTGGTGGAGGCGGCTAACTGCCATATAGACAGGAATTAAAGGGCTTCCACGAGCATGCTTCTAGTGACCTGTTTCCAAAATAGTGCCTCTAGCTGGAAACCAAAGGTTTAACACATGAACTTTTGGGGGGAAATTTAATACTCAAACTGTAACAACGACTGTGAAATTAACTTGTATAGTTAATCTTGGCACAAGGACAAAACCACCTAATGTGTTTCTCAGAATCTGGCTCTGTTAGCAGGTAATGTGGGTCCTTACATTAAATCAAAATTGGCTCATAGTACACATTTAGTTTTATAGTATTCTTTTGTTAAATTGGATGCCATTATTTTAACAGTCCTACATCATTTTTCATGATTGTAAAGATTTTATTGATAGTATCATATGTATTGAACCCAAAACAGCTGGGTGGGAGTCGCTTTTGTTTTTTATTTTTGAGCCTATAACAACTACTTTGCTATTTAAACATTTGAGATCAATATTGGTATATATTTTCAATATTTAACAATTTCTTTTATGATATAGCATTGAGTAATATTTTATTAACATTATAATTTCTCAGCTTCTTAAAAAGCTGGAAACAGAAGAAGCAACCACAGAGAAACCCAAAGAAAGAGGTGACTCAGTTGGTACTGGAGACGAAAAGCAGGAATCCCGGCCAGTGGAAAGCCTGCCAGAGACACCTGCAGAGAGGTGAGGATGCTCTTGTTTCCATGACTACTTCCTGCCCCCAGTGTAGCACCATAGCGTCTGTGCGATGTGCACTCTCCACATTGCCCTTGGAGAACTCTGCCAGAATATGCTAGCATGTGTGCTTTTGTTGACCATGCCGGGAGTTTCGTATGCATCGAGTCAGCAGTGTCAAGTAGCTCTTGGAGTCAGGGATGGCTCCCCTTGCTTCCTTACCTGTCACTTCTCCCTTTTCCTCCGTAGACTGGCCTCGAACTCACAGAGATCCGCCTGCCTCTGCCTCCCAAGTGCTGAGATTAAAGGCAAGCACCACCAATGCCCAGCTCACTATTCATTTAACCTTTTGATATGCATACACTAGTCCACCTGGCATTATTCAACTTTAGTTCATTTGGCTGTGCTTGGAGCATCACAGACATGTGTCTGGGGACCTAGGAATGTCACTTGTTTAGTTGAACTGTAAAATGGGAATCACATTTACTTTGGGAGAATTAGGCCAACGTATCTACACACCTCAGCATTACGTCATTGTGTACGTCATTCAGATATAGTGGCAGATATTATTTGTCGTATTTGGTTAAATGCTTGCTGTGAACTCATTGCTGCTAAACTCAGCTCTGTAGCAGTGGGCTCAGTTCCCACACTCCCATTCAGAGTCTGGAAGGGAGACAGGTAATGAGCCACCTGCCTCAGTTAGTTATTGACCATTTGTATTGACTCACAGGCTACAGGATGGCAGTGATAAAGAGCAAAGGGACAAAAGATTTCGAGAGAAAGAACCTGAAACTCCAAGATGTCACCCAGATGGTTGCAGAAAGCACAGCATTCACTCTGAGTTTGCCAGGTTTTCCAGAAGGAATAAAGACGAACCAAAGTGGGGGAAAGGCTCCACCCAGGGTACAGGGAAAATGGGGAGCCAGGATGGGAGTGTCCCTGTGGACAAGGCGGAGGGAACGAGCAAGGAGCAGAGGGGTGTGACAGCCCGGGACTAAGAAAGGAGCGCCTGGGAAACAAGGCTCTGTAGTCCACGGCCCGTCTTCCCTGTTGTGTGCGCCAAGATTATACAGCGTGCCTCTGCGGTCTCAGAACCACTCTCCCCAAACATAGGGTAGACAAGAAAAGTCGGCCCCGTGTGTGCAGGTCCAGGGCTGTGCTCCGTCTGTGTCTGCTCACACACCCATGTGGGCTGACTTTGAAAGTCCCTTCTTCTAGAGTATTCTTGCTCACCTGGGTACACTGAACTTGGAACTAAATTCTGAATAAAACATACTATCATCTTTTTAAAGAATCAAGTTTTTATTTACCAGGAAAAAGTGTGTGGCATAAATCATTTACTTGAGGTTAATGTTGTAGAATGTAGCCTGAGGATCCTAAGGGAAACAGCATTTTGTGGAGCTTTCTGGGGTGCAACTGACTGACTGACTAATCAGTAGTCTCACAGCCCGTGAGGTACTTGGGCCTGAGTGTGAATACAGTAGTAAGGTTCCTTTGAGTCCAGTGAAGAGATGCTTTTTCAGAAGTGTCCAGTTTACTTCTATTTGGTCATGTTTCCCCGGAGACCCATTTAGGGTGTTACTACAACCTGGTCCATGTTTAGGCTGCTCGCCATTGGACAGCCCATGTCTGGGAGCCAAGAGCTGAAGGAAGAAGAATCAGATTAAGGGAGGGCTGCCATCCCTTTCACTTTATCCTGTATTAAATTACATGGGAATTTTTTATGTCTTAGACAGGATCTCATTGTACACTCCTGACTGGCCTTGAACTCAACTGAGTGCTGATTGTAAAAGCATGGGCCACTAGGCCCAGCCAAGCCCCCTTTTTAAATCTTTAGTAAAAACTACAACATTTTGTTCTCTCTACTTATGCTAGTATTTCTTCTCAAGATAACCAGTTTCTTTGGTCATAGTTTAACAACAACAAAAATACTAACATATGAAGTTACGATTTATTTACTTGTTTGTTTATATATATATTTGTTTATTTTGTTCTTTTGAGGCAGGGTCTCTCCATGTAGTTCTGGCTGTCCTGGAACTCACTGTGTAGACGAGGCTGGCCTTGAATCCCCAGAGATCTAACTACCTCTGCTTTCTTAGGGCTGATATTAAAGGCATGCGCCACCATGCTTAACTTTTTGTTTTTAAATGTATTTTTAATGCTGGATACTGAACTACAGTCATTGTACTGTTAAAAACAATACATTGCCATTGAGCTATATTTCTGCCCAAAAGTGAAGGTTTTCCACATAATTTCCTTCCTCGATATTTGTTCTTTTTGATAATTTAGCAAGGGAAAAATATTTTAAGGGCTTACCTTTTGGAATTTCTTGCAGGTTTTGACAGATGCCTAAATGTCACCAAAATGAAGAAGAGAGACTCTCCGTGTGATTATGTGACCAACCAGGCATTTGAACAACAAGACTGATTTGACCGATTTTCCCTGACACAGGTTCAAAGAATAATCCTTTTTTTTTTTTTTATCAAATGCTTTGTGTATTTTCAGGTACCAGAGACAGACAGACACTAGATTGTGACAAGCCACTACTCCCACCTGCTCTTTAAAAAAAGTAACAACCCAAAACTCCGGGTTTTTAAAGCCATATATATACCTGTGCGTCCTAACAAAGCTATTCTTATCCTTAAGGTAAAGCTGTGTTCTCCCTGAGACCACTTTGGTCCCTGAAACTCCCTTGGCTGTGTAAATGAAGTGATGGTGTCTTCAGGTTACAATGGCCTACTGTCCCTGGTAGTGAATCTTTGAAGACATCCCTGTTCCCCTCAAGTGCATTCTCACTGGGTGCCCCTTACACACTGAACACACTGTCCCTTATGTCACAGGACCACACTTTCAAATAAAAAGGATAGGAGGGCTGAGTAATCAGTGGGTGTTCTGATTCTTAGCATCCATGTAAAAGCTGTATGGGTGTGGTGGCCTGAGCTATATGATCATTGGCTGAGTGTGTGTGTGTGTGTGTGTGTGTGTGTGTGTGTGTGTGTGTGTGTGTGTTGGAAGGACCCTACAGAGTCAGCTGGCCAGTCAGATTAGCCAAATCAGCATGCTCAGGGTTCAATTGAAAGACCTCTCACCTCAGTAATTAGTGATACCCAACATCAAACTCTAGCCTGACCTACACATGCACGCACGCACGCGCACACCCACATGCACGCACACACACACAGGCAAAACCAAACAAGCCCAGAACAGTTAAAAGGTCAGGGTATCTGTGCTCTTTCTTCTAAAATTAGGGCTCCTTAACTGAAAAGCCACATTGTGGGAGGTGGCGTTCTAATGACTACCCGACATCCCTCAAGTTAGTATTCACGGGGTTGTAATAAGCTGTTGAGGAGTTGGGGATAGCTGGGTTGGTAAAGTTTATGCCATGCAAGCATGAGGACTCAAGGTGGGCATGGTGGTACACACTTGAGTCAGTACTGGGGAGGTGGGCTCTGGAAGAACTCTGGGGCTTGAGGTAGTTGGCAAGTACCAGGTCCTGGTGAGAGACCCTGGCTCAAAAAACAAGGTAGATGGTGCCTGAAAAATGGTCACCCAAGGTCAACCTCTGTCCCTCACATGCATATACACAAAAGCATGCCGTACATTTTTCTATAAAGTACTTCCTCTTACCTTTCTTCAGATTATTAGAGGAATAATCCTAAAAAGTTACAATGTTTCCACATTAGATTATCCATCAGTATCTTTCTGACAAAAATAAAGAGGACTATGTTGGAGGCAGAGGCAGGTGGATCCATGAGCTCGAGGCTAGCCTGATCTACAGATTGAGTGCCAGAACAGGTTCCAAAGCAACACAGAGAACCCCGTCTCAAACCCCCACCCCAAAAAAGAAGTACAGCATCTTTTATACTATTAGTAGGGGGAAATGGGCCACGCCAACAGAAAGCTAAATCAGTGTTGGCAAAGAACACAGGACATCTCAGACATAGCTGCCTAAGGCCACAGCCCATGTGGGTAAGTGTGGGCGAGGGGAAACTGGGTTCCCAGGAACTGAGACTCCTTTGAGGTCCTGGCCTCAGCCCCAGACCCAGCCCCAGCCCCAGCCTGAAACTTGCCAAATTTTCTAGTGGACAAGGACCCAGAACTAAGTTCCCTTTGTCCTTTCATCTCAGGTAATCCTTACTTTGGGGATCTCCACGCAGCAGCCGGCAGCTCTGGTTCTTTCTGGAAACTTGGTAGATTCCCCAGACCTGCCTCAGGACTCCTGCATCAGTGCTGTCAGTGTACAGTCCCCTCTACCCTCCAGAGCACTATAAATTCTGTCCAGGACTTGTACACACCCCTGTGTTCCCCAAAGGTGACAAACAGCCTCACTTAGAGTGACAAGTGGCAGCATGAACGACATCGCCCGATTGCTGCTTGACAAAGTTCCAGCGTTTCCACGTGGAGACCACACTTCTCCAGCACCTTTTTATTAATGACTCTCACTATGTCATTGTCCTTTGGGAAATTTTATGAGGGCGTGGAAGGAAGAAAACATACAAAAGGCAGCCTCTTTAAATAAAATAATTCTTTGGGGAAAAACAATCCCCACCACCGTGGAACCAGGAATCCCACAGTGCCCACGTAATTACACCAAGAACTAGAAAGTTAGAGATTTACTAGACACACCTGACCCCAAAGATGAAATGCCTACAATTCAGACCCAGAGCCTGAGGCCATTAAGAGCAAGAGTTCAGTTAGTAAGTATAGAGAAATCAGAATGGTACAGTACAATGGAAAGAGAGTAAGTTATCAAGACCTTCCCTTTGGGGGGTGTAGGAGGAGAACAGGGCCATGAATAAGACTAAGACACAGCCGGGCGTTGGTGGCGCACGCCTTTAATCCCAGCACTCGGGAGGCAGAGGCAGGCGGATCTCTGTGAGTTCGAGGCCAGCCTGGTCTACAGAGCGAGTTCCAGGACAGCCTCCAAAACAACACAGAGAAACCCTGTCTCGAAACCCCCCCCCCAAAAAAAAGACTAAGACACAAAGGGACGCAATTAGGGAGCATCAGTGCTTATCCCCTTGAGGAATGAAAATTGCTCTTAAGTTGTTGTAGTCAAGTGTCTGGTCCCTGGACGAAGTCCTTTGCCAAGGTCAGGCATGTGGGTGCTTGAGAAAAGCCCGTGCTTGCTAGAGGAACTTGTGGCCCTCATTAACATGACTTGTGCCCTCTGTCAAGGTCAATGCCAGATTCCTCAGCCCCCCCAATCTCAAAGCCACACTCACATTTAATCCTATGTGCAACTCTAGAGTATAAAAGGTGTACTGTTTTTCTAATAAATGCTGCTGGAAGCCATCTGGATTTGGGATTCACCCTCAGATTAAGCCCTCACCCCTCCAGCGCCACCTCGGCCACAGCCTCCACATGGCCTCTTTGGGGCTTCAGCCTTCACCAAAGCAGGTCTCAGGCACACAAGGGTTAGATTTCCAGTGCCTCAAAGTGAAAACAAAGTGAAATTTAAAAATAGAGAGTAACTATAGACCCAAAGACAAACAGGTTGGAAATGACTAAAATATTAACCAAAAGAGAGTGTTATAATATCAGGGGGCATTAATCCCAATGTCAAGAATAAAACCACTACTACAATTTGGGCAAATCTGAAGCAAGATTGATTTTTATTGGGGTGCATCCAAAAGCTGGCTAGTGACTACCTCTTACAGCTCAATATCTAATATTATCAGGAGATGATCTTGATGTAGAATTTCTCAGACTAGCATTTCTAATTGGCAGCACAAGAGATGATTCTGTACTACAACTAAGCAAAGATGGTTCAATATATGAAAATCAGTCACTACAATGTATCATATTTTTAGAATGAGCAAAGAGCCACTTGATGGTTTTAATTGACCTAGAAAGACAATTCTGTCAACTTCAGTTTTCATGATGAATAAATACATAGAAACAACAACAACATAACTAGGAATAGAATCAAACTATTTCAGTCCTGAGACGCATGCATGAAAAGTCCATCACACTCAATGGTGCAAGTCTGGAAGCCTCTATCGTAAGTGACAATGCAGAGTCTTGCTATTATAATTTCTGTGTAACACAGGAAATTCTACCTAATCTTGGTTTTCAACTTGACACTCCTGGGAAAAGAGGAACTTTCTGCATCAGTTTGTCTCCTGGGCATGTTTGTGGAGCATTTTATTAATGGTTAACTGATGTGGGGAGAGCCCTGTCCTCCACTGCGGGCTGTTCCATACTTGGGCATGTATGTGGGCCTGAGTTGTATAAAGAAGGTAGTAGAGCAATCCAGGGGAAACCAGCTAGGAGTTTCCCCATGGCCTCTGCTGACTCCAGGTTCCCGACTCCAGGTTCCTGCCTTAAGGCCTTGGCTTTCCTCAGTATCTTAAAGACACTTCCTTCCCCAACTTGTTCTTGGTTAGTGTTTTATTGAAACAACAAAGAAACAAACCAGGACATCAAGGAACATTAAATTCAAACTTAAAAAACCTCTGTGTTCAGGTTATACGATTTTATATGTCCGTGAAGATTCCAGACATGTACACACGAAACTCTCAGGAGCTAGTAAAATAAATTAGCAAAGTAGCAGAACATAGGATCACAAATAAGCTCAGTAGCATTTCTACATCCTAACAAGGAACAATACACAGTATTGTATTGGTAGGCTCTGCTCCCTTTCACCGCATAGGCCTCCCAAATGTTGCTTCTCCTTTTCTGATAGACCCTGCTCTGCCCTAACCCATAGGCTTCCTGGGTTCTCCAGACTCTCGCCCCTGAGTTGCCAAGTAACCCTTCTTCTTTGCTACTTTTAACTTCTCTAAGATCTCCCAACCCCAAGAGCTGATTCCAAACATGCAGTGAGCCTGGTAATGGTGGCACACGCCTTTAATCCTAGCACTCGGGAGGCAGAGGCAGGCAGATCTCTGTAAGTTCGAGGCCAGCCTGGTCTACAGAGCGAGTTCCAGGACAACCTCAAAAACAATACAGGAAAAACAACAACAAAAAAAGACAATACACCATCCTTCAGTAGAAGGAACAAGACAAAAGACAAAAGGAAAAGAAAGAAGGTGAAGGCTGGAGACCGGAGCCCCAGCCAAGGGTAGGACCGCTGGCGTCCCCCAGCCCTGCCCAGCTGGGGAACCTTAGGGGCGGGGTGGGGATGGGGGTGGGGGGGAGACCCGGAGGCATGCGAAGGCACTTCCGGTGCGAGCGCGCGATACTTCCCGGCTGGTCTTGGGTCCAGCCGCCATTCCCGAGGCCGTGCGGCCGGGCTGGCGTTTCCTGTGGGCGTTTCCTCTTCACTCCAGGACACCTCGCCGGAGGGTGAGGAGCTGGCGGGCGCCTCGGTACGAGCTGCAGAAGGCGGGTGGGCGGGCGCCTCGGTGAGGGCGAGCGGGCGCCTCGGTGCTCTCGGCGCGGCCTGGAGGAGGCCGGAGCGGACCGCGGGCTCCTCCCGCTCGCCGCCTCGGGGGCTGGCCGGGGTTGGAGGGGTCAATGTCGGTCTGGAACTCCCCAAGGGTCGGCGACCCTCAGCAGAAGCCACACCCCCACGTGGACCACGTACGGGGTTAGCCTGGTCCCGGGAGCCCAGCCCGGCGTTTCCGAGGAAGGGCCGACCGCGGGCTGCAAACTGGGGCCAGTCTAGCGTTGCCTCCCATTTAAACTCAAGGTCGCTCGGCGCCCTCCACGTAAACAGGTCGTGCTTGTCAGGGACTCTGGGAGCAGCGGAGTTGCTCTGCGGACCCCAGTGGAGCACAGGTGACGCGCAGCTCGCTCCGCAGCATCAGGAGCGGCCTCTCCCGTAAACCGTGGACGTCCTGAGTTAGGCTGGGCTTGCGGCTCGCCCGTTGAGCCCTTGCTTAGCAAGAGTGAGGCTTTGGGTTCCATCCCGGCACTAGGGAACAGAAAGCATCAGCCGTTACAAATTACCCCACTAATTAACGCAGATTGTTAATAGACTGGGAAAAATATGTAGAAGCGTGGGAGTTTTTTGTGGTGTCTGTTCCGTTTTTCTTTAGACACAAAACCAGATCCCCCTCCCCCCAAATTATAACCTTTAAAGAAGAAACAGCTCTTCATGAAGAACAGTGTTACATAGTATGTGTGCAGACTAATAGAACCAGTGTCCTGGTTTGCTTTCCGTTGCTGTGATCAAAAATAATTTGGGCGCGGGAAGAGTTCGTCTTACAGGTGATAGTCTGTTGTGGAGGGATTTGAGGCAGGGACTCAAGCAGAAAACACGGAGTGAAGCTGCTTACTGGCTTGCTCTCGCAGTTCAGCTGCCTTTCTGATCCAGCAAAGGCCTACATGTCTAGGGATGGTAATTCTGTATCCATTGGAAATCAAGAGAATGCCCCACATTGTCTTGCCTGTAAGCCAATCAGATAGAGACAATTCTTCATCTGAGGCTCCCCTTCCCCAGGGTGACGAGTTGACAGCCAGTCAGCTTACACGTGTTCTGTGTTTAATTTTTAATATCAAGATGAATTATTAAAGATTTATTTATTTTATGATTATGAATGTTTTGTTGACTTTATGCCAGAAGAGGGCATCAGATCTCATTATGGATGGTTGTGAGCCACCATGTGCTTGCTGGGAATTGAACCCAGGACCTCTGGAAGAGCAGCCAGTGTTCTGAACCTCTGAGCCAACTCCTCAGCCCCCAAAATGTACTTTTAAAAGATGTTCAGTAAGGCTGGGCAGGGTGGCACACACCTTTAATCCCCAGTACTTGACAAGCAGATTCAGATGGATCTCTTGAGTTCAAGGCCAGCCTGGTCTACATAGTGAGTTCCAGGAAAGCCAGAGCTATGCAGAGAGACTTTGTCTTTAAAAACAAAACAACAACAACAACAAACTATCAAATAGGAAGAAAATATGTGGGGGTAGATGTGTAACTGACACCTTATAGTGTACCATTGTGTAGAAGACTACTCTGTGGTCAGCTGGCAAACAGCACCAGTGGTCAGATCTCATACTTTAGTGAGGTAGTGAGGGTTTTTTTGTTTGTTTGTTTGTTTTTTGTTTTTTCGAGACAGGGTTTCTCTGCATTGTTTTGGAGGCTCTCTTGGAACTCCCTCTGTAGACCAGAATGGCCTCGAACTCACAGAGATCCGCCTGCCTCTGCTTCCCGAGTGCTGTTAGTGAGTTAATTTTACAGTTAGTGTTGGCAGTGCTGGCATCTACGTTCAAGTCTGTGGACATTGTTAGCAAAGACTCAAATCAGGCCTTTAAGAGTGACTTCCTCTCAAGAAAGGGTATGGAGTTGAGTTGTTGGGGAGCATCTGTGAGGAGTTGGGGGAAGGCAAATTATGATCAGAATATATTGTATGAAAACAGTTTTTTATTTTTCATTTAAAAAGCCCTTACGAATGCTAACAAAATGAAAAGAGATACTTTCTGAGGGTTTTTCTCTGCTGTAAAATGAAGAGGCTGAGCCCAAGTCCTCCAGGCCATTTTGGTCCTGTGTTGATTGCTCATGTCTCATTGTGGTACTACTTGACAAAATACCTTGTTCCAGTTCATGATGAATCATTTTATAAAGCTGTTTTCTGGGACTGGGGAGCTGGTTCAATGGTTAAGAACACTTGTTCTTGCAGAGAACTCAGGTTTGATTCTCACCACCTACAGAGTAGCTCACAACTGTCTGTAACCCTGACCTCCATGGTACCAGGCACGAGTCAGTGCACAGACATAAATGTGAGCAAAATACTCAGATACATACATTTTTCAAAAAGTAAAACTTTTCTGTATTACCCGTAAATTTTCCTTAGTGACATTACACATCTGTGTTCATGGTGATTATTTTTTAACACTTCTTGCCAGCACGATGTGTTTCCATATTTGCTAGGATTCCTCTCCTCTTTATTTCCATTGCTAATGCTAGGCAAATGCTGTTCCATTAAGCCACATCCCCGGCCCCCATTAGAGACTCTTAAAAGTATTCTGGCCCACTTCCGAGGCCAAGGCGGTGGTGCAGCCTTTAATTCCAACACTCCAGGGGGCAAAGGCGGACAGATCTCTGTGAGTTCCAGGCCAGCCTGGTCTACAGAGTGAGTTCTAGGACAGCCAGGGCTACACAGAGAAACCTTGTCTTGGGGGAAAACGCTTATCTAGAGCTGGAGACAGGAGGAGCACCCTAGATTTCTGCAGTTGATACATGGATTCTGAAACTTCATTGTGCTGGCTTCTCTGTTTGATCATGGTGTCTGAGGATATCTTATCCTTTGTTCTGATTGCCTGCCTGATGTTGACTGAATAGGACATTATAATGTTGGTCTTCTGTTTCCTCGGCTGTGTATTGGAGTCTGTGTATCCCAGGCTTGAAACACAGTCTGTTGCCGAGGGTGACCTTGAACTTCTCATCCTTTTTCAAGCTCTTGATATTTGAAATGGGCACACAGGTCTTCCCTAGTTTTAAAGTCTGTGAGTTTTAAGATTGGGACGTTCCCAGTCTTCATGGGATGGTGTTGTGACTGCTCAAGTCCTTCCTGAGCACAGGGGTGAACAAGTGGATGGCTTGTCCTGGCTCTAGAGAGCTGTGGCCTGGCATGCAGTCAGGCTGAGGTGACAGGTGGTGACGGGTTTGTGGGAAATGTGCATCTGACTGATTGAAGGGAAAGCGAGAGGGAGTGGGGATGTGCCTTGCTGTAAGGTGACCTGTCAGAGGACCAATGGACTTGCCTATTGGGTAAGGTAACAAGATGTAAAGGAGAAGAAAGTGCCTTGGGGAAAGATGGGGAGTTTGAAGAGTCAGGGAATTACATGTGAATAGCACCTGAGAAAGGCAGAAATTAGACCAAAGAATGACATGTGCCATGTTTAGATTTATACTGAAGGTGTCTAGTCCTGCAAGGAGTTGTGAGCAGGCAGTTTACACTAATTGGGCTTTTGAGTTTGGGAGATGACTTAGAGGTGCATGCAGGTGGGTTGAGAAGAAGAGGGCGGGGCTGCAGAATGAAAGTGGTGTTGGGGAGGGTGGTAGTTGTGCTAGAACTCACCAGGAGTGAATTGGCAGTGGTTGATGTGCCTGGCCAAATAGTGTTTTCCTTCTCACAGAGCCCTTTTGCTTTCTGTCTCGTCCTCTTGATTATAGTATTCACGATGGATGTCAGTGATGGCTGGGATGAACAGAATATCTGTGTCTTTGTGGGGTTTTTGTTTGTTTACCAAGACAAGATTTCTCTGAATTACAGTCCTGGCTGTCCTGTAACTCTCTGTAGACCAGGCCAGCCTCAAACTCATTGCACTACAATCTGAGTGCTTGTCAAAAATGTGGGTTAATATTACCTAAAATTGGGGGCTGGAGAGATGACTCAGTGATTAAGAGAACTGGCTGCTCTTTCAGAGGACCTGGGTTCAGTTCCCAGCATCCATATTGCAGCTCACAACTGTCTGTAATTCCAGTTCCAGAGGACCTGACACCCATGGCAAAGCATCAATGCCTATAAGATAAAAATTAATAAATTAAAAAAGATATTTCCTGAAATTACATAAGCCATGAGTTAACGGGGGAGTGACAATATTGGATGACTGGAATGGAGAGGATTATGTAAGTACAGTAATATCTATGAAATCGTAAAAACAAGTTTTTAAACTTTTAAATAAAATAAAAATGAAAAGCAGCAAACCGAAGGATATGTGTCTAAAAAGAGGAATGAAACAATTGAAATTAGAAAAAAAATACACTACATGATTAAAATAAAATAGGGTAAGAAAGCATAACTTAAGCCAAATGTGGTGATGTATGTTTGTAATCCTAGCAGGTGGGAAGTCTAGGCAGGTGGATCAAGAACTTGAGGCCAGTTGGGTGGTGGCTGCACATACTTTTAATCCCAGCAGAGACAGAGACAGGTGGATGTCTGTGAGTTCAAGGCCAGCCTGGTCTACAAAGCAAGTCCAGGATAGCCAGCTCTACACAGAGAAACCCTTGTCTCGAAAAACATAGTAAAGCTGGTGTGTTGGGTTGCTCCTGTAATCCCCAGTACTCATGAGGTTGAGGCAGGAGGATTGTATTGAGTTTTCAGGTGGTTAGCCAGTGCTACCTAGCAACACCCTGCTTTTTTTCTTTTAAAGGAAGTAAACAAAGTTAAAGAAGAAAGGAAAACGGTAAGCATCCGTAGTGAGATACTAGTTACCACCTATGTATAGCAAGGACTTTTAATTTTATTCAGTTTTGAGGAGTTGGGGAATTCTTTCTCATCTGTACTCTTGCATATTTTTAAATGTAATCAAGTACTTTGAACCATGTAATCTACTAGAAACATTCTATATACAAAGACTGGAAGGGAATTCTATGCTTGCTCTCTAATAAAAATGTCCTAGATGGGCTCTTAAAGTGGTTAGACACAAATAAGTGTAGTATGAGCCATGTGTGTCACGAGCTGTGTCCTTGAACATTCTCCTCAGTAACACTAGCTGCAGTGAAAACACTGGCTTACAGTTCCAGCCTCCATAATGTTCCCTGTCTGGCCGTGCTGGAGTGCTCTGGAGAGCACTGTAGGGTCTTAACTCAAAGAAAGTCCAGCAAGGATCAGGTTAAAACAGCCATTCCATGTCTACTTTCTAATTTCCTGGAAAGGATCTAAAGTTTCTTCCTGGATTTAAGATGTGCATCATCACCTTCGTGTGTTGGCAGCTTGTAGATTCAGGGTTAGGATCTAAGTGTAAAGCTACAGAAAGTTCATTCTTGAGAAACAGAGTCCTAACCCTGGACTAGAGGAAGTCAAGTCGGTTGGTTTCTCTGAAAAGGCAGTTTCTTTACCTATAGATGAAAATAATACTTGAGTGATGCTGTTAGGAGGATCATGTGAGACGATCTGTAAAAATAAAACCCAGAGAGTTAGGACTCAGTCTCCCTCATGGCGGGCTGCGGAACTTAAAGCAGCCTGCCTTCTGGACTTGAAGCTGTGCAGTGAGTGTTTACTCAGGACAGTGTCCCTGCAATAATCAGTCTCTCTCTCTCTCCCTCTCCCTCTCCCTCTCCCTCTCCCTCTCCCTCTCCCTCTCCCTCTCCCTCTCCCTCTCCCTCTCCCTCTCCCTCTCCCTCTCCCTCTCCCTCTCCCTCTCCCTCTCCCTCTCCCTCTCCCTCTCCCTCTCCCTCTCCCTCTCCCTCTCCCTCTCCCTCTCCCTCTCCCTCTCCCTCGTTACAGAGCAGCCATTTGCATTAGCGGAAGATGGAAGTGTTTCCGGAACTGCACAAGCCATCGTTAAGCTTGGAGTGTGACCACTGTGGCTTCAGAGGCACCGACTACGAGAATGTGCAGCTGCACATGGGCTCCATCCACCCCGAGTTCTGTGATGACATGGACGCCGGAGGGCTCGGCAAGCTGATATTTTACCAGAAGAGTGCAAAGCTCTTCCACTGCCATGCGTGCTTCTTCACCAGCAAGATGTACTCCAACGTGTACTACCACATCACAGCCAAACACTCGGCCGCAGAGAAGTGCAGTGACAAGCCAAAGGACCAGAGCAAAGAGGCCCAGTCTGTGAAAAGCCCTTCCCTTCCTGAACACCAGAGCACAGCCTTTGACCCAGCAGAAGCGAGGCCCACTCCAGCCCTCCCCGTAGAAACACAGAAAACTGATCCGAGTTTGTCTCCAGAGCCACAGAAGTCTGTTCCTCCTGCCCTGGAGCCTCACGATTCTGGCCCCGTTTCTCCTGAGCCACAGGCACCTTGTCTTCCTGCTGAGGCCTCCAAAACTGCTCCTGCTTCCTCTCCTGAACACCTAGACACAGCCAGCTCGGTTTTAGAGCTGCAGAAGCCTACCCCTGCTTCCCCTGAGTCTGTCAAGTCTGCTCTTGTTAGTTCCAAACCCCAGAAGCTTTCTCCCTTTGCAGATACAGGGGCTCCCCCTTCTGCCTTGTCTCCAGAGTCACCAGTTCTGGCCACATCTCCTGAACCTTGGGGGCCATCCCTAACTGCATCTCCTGAGTCTCGGAAGCCATCCCCATCAGAGTCTCCTGAGCCAAGGAAGCCATTCCCTGCCATCACTTCAGAGCCACGGAGACCTGCCCCAGCAGTGTCACCAGGTTCCTGGAAGCCAGGACCACCTGGTTCTCCTCGGCCTTGGAAATCCAGTCCTTCAGCGACATCAGGACCTTGGAAGTCATCTAAACCTGCTCCATCTGTGTCCACTGGACCTTGGAAGCCAATACCATCTGTATTGCCTGGGTCTTGGAAGCCAGCTCCACCTGTGTCCACTGCATCCTGGAAGTCTTCAGTCTCATCTGGTTCCTGGAAAACACCCCCCACATCCCCAGAGTCATGGAAAGCTGGTCCCCCTGAGCTCCGAAAGACGCCTCTTGCTTTGCCATCTGAACACTGGAAGGCGGCTCCCCCTGTGCCTCCTGAGCTTCGCAGACCAGGCCCGCCTCTCTCTCCCGAGATCCGAAGTCCAGCAGGGTCTCCGGAGCTCAGGAAGCCTTCAGGGTCCCCAGACTTTCGGAAGCTTTCTCCTGACCAGCGGAAAAGCTCTCCTGCTTCATTTGACTTCTCTGAGTCCCAGAAAAGTTCGCGTGGGTCTCCCGAGACCTCCTTCATTCCAGAGTCTCAGAAGCCCAGTGTCTTCCCCGAGGCACGAAAACATGCTTCTCCTGGCTCATCTGAGCCCCCAAAGGTGACCTCAGACATTTGGAAGCCTGTCCTCTCTATTGATGCTGAGCCTAGGAAGTCCACACTGTTTCCTGAGCCCCCCAAAACAGTCCTTCCTGCTTCTCCTGAGCCACGGAAACGTGCACTTTTCCCAGAGTCTCGGAAGCATGTGCTTTTCCCTGAGCTCAAACCTGCTGTGTTCTCCGATGATCAGAAGACCACTGAGCTTAGTGACGAGCTACAGCTGGAGGCTGTGGATGATGCGAAATGTGATAGTCTGGTCCAGGAGGGCCTTCTGGCTACACCCAAGAAACTGTTAGAGGATGCTTTATTTCCTTCTTCCAAGAAGCTCAAGAAAGACAGCCAAGAGAACTCAGATGCTGAGCTCAGTAGCAGTGAGTACGTCAGAACAGACTTAGACACCATAGACATCAAGGGCCAGGAGTCCAGCAGTGACCAAGAACAGGTAGATGTAGAATCTATTGATTTTGGCAAAGAAAACAAAATGGAGATGAGTAGTCCAGAGCAGTCCAAAAGTGTGCTTCAGTTCACCGAGGAGAAGGAGGCGTTCATTTCTGAGGAGGAGATTGCAAAATACATGAAGCGTGGAAAAGGGAAATATTATTGCAAAATTTGTTGCTGTCGTGCCATGAAAAAAGGTGCTGTTTTGCATCACTTAGTTAATAAGCACAATGTCCATAGCCCATACAAGTGCACAATTTGTGGGAAAGCATTTCTTTTGGAGTCTCTTCTTAAAAATCATGTAGCAGCCCACGGGCAAAGTTTACTTAAATGTCCACGGTGTAATTTTGAGTCAAATTTCCCAAGAGGCTTTAAGAAACACTTAACTCATTGTCAAAGCCGGCATAATGAAGAGGCAAATAAGAAGCTGATGGAAGCTCTTGAGTCGCCATTGGAGGAGCCACAGATGTGACTTTCAAACAGCAGTACCTGCTCTACTGTATTGTTTGCCAAACTCCAGCTTGCTGAATAGCCTAGTAGACGCTGTTAGTGTGTCCTGTTATAGAGAACACGCACTTGGTTATTTTTTTCATATGAGCTCTTGTTTATGTGGATGGCTATTTTATAAGTCAATACATTTCTGTTATGTATTCCAGATGGATATAACTCATTATCCTTAAACTCACTTTAGTCATAATACAAAGTGTGGGAGGAGATAGGCAGTTCATTTCGTAAACAAGTTTAAACCTAATTGAAACCTTTCTCCTCTCTCTCTCTCTCTCTCTCTCTCTCTCTCTCTCTCTCTCTCTCTCTCTCTCTCTCTCTCTCTGTGTGTGTGTGTGTGTGTGTGTGTGTAATTGATTTCAGATCATGAAAATTATTAGGTAGAGGGCTCAGTGGTAGAGCACTTGCCTAGCATGTTTTGAATACTAACTGTTCCATGGTTCAATCCCCAATATCTTTTTAAAAAAATGAGCATGAAAAGTACATCCAAGAAAAATTTTGTTACCCTTACAAGAACTTTTGAATCATGTTTCATAGCCTCTTCCTTCATGTAAAATCAGTGTAAGAATCTTTAATACTTTCCTGGGTGTTGTGGAGCTGGAGTCTTAGGGGTCACTGGTTTTCTGCTGAAAGGACATTGAGTAGTACCTAAGGGGATTTGGTATTTTCTGCGACCACATAACTAAGGTCATGCTTAGCTGCAGTTATTTCCAGTTGTGTCTTCCTTGTGTCTTGGTCCTCACTCACTTCTCTGCCAGCTCATGTTAGCAGATGATCCATAATTGCCAAACGAGTTAGAGTTTGTGCCTCCTACTCCTCGGCCTTGCACGCTCCCTGCTGGGGCTCAAGACCTGGGTAATGAGTAGGAGCTGAAAGTCTTCCCGACTCACAGTTCAATGAATGAATAGATAGTGAGGAAGTATACACTAGCCTCAGTTACAGGAGAGGCTGAGGCAGGGGGATCACTTGAGCCCTGCCTGGGAGCATAGTGAAACCCTGTCTCAAAAGGCATTCCTGTAGAAACATTTTGATTTTGTTTCGCATAGTTTTTTCCTTGTAAATACCTTGTTTCTCTTCATGGATGAGTATTCTAACATATTTTGTTAAATGTTTATCAGATTAAAAAGGCTTTCATGTTAACATCTTCATGTGCTTTCTTTTAATAATTGCATTATAGTCTGACTTCTGTCACTATCAGATACCTGAGGAAGACAGTTTGGAAAAGGCTTGTTTTGGCTTATGGGTTGGGAGGTGTCGATGGCTTGTAGGCCCGTGATGTGGAGGAAGGGCAAGGCAGAGAAACATTGCTCACCTCACGGCATCCAGGAGAAAGAAGAGATGTGGAGAAGGACCCGGGTCAAGGTACATCACTCAAAGGTACGTCCCCAGTGCCGAACCTTCCTCCAAGTGTGCCGCCACCTCCCAAGAGTAGACCCAGCGTTTGATCTGCTAGTGGTTGAAACCACTGGCCAGAGCAGAGCCTTCATGACCCACTCCTGAAAATGCCCTCCGAGTACCCCAGGTGCGCTTCACTGATGCCGTGAGTATCTCCATCTTCTCAGGCCAGCCAGATGAACCACCGCAATTTCCGTCTTACGATACTAGCTTTCCTGTGTTGAGCAGCACACTGTAAGTCAGGAGCCACTATGAGTGCTGTTGGAAATCTCTCACGCTCATCAGTGTACTAAAGGCTGTTTGACTTCAGGGCTTGCCAGTCTTAGCTGCTTCATCTTAACTGGTGTGTGTGTGGTGGGGGGGTTGTCTACCACAAGACTTAGGAGGATGGGTTCCAAGCCTTTCACTCTGTTTTGTTTTAAGCCAGGGTTTCTCAGCATATGGGTCACAACCCCTAAAGGGGTCGTATGTTGTGTTGTTTTTGCTCTTTTGGCTTTTTGAGTGGCCTGTCACCAGCTCCCAAATAAATCACATGAAGGCTTATTCTTAATTATGTGTGTCCAACCTTAACTTGGCTTGTTTCTAGCAACTTTTCTTAAGTTATCCCGCCTACCTTTTCACTCACTTTTATCTTTCTTATGTATTTCTTCTTACCCAATGGCTGGCTGGCTGGCTGGCTGGCTGGCTGCGTGGCTGGCCCCCTGACATCCCCCTCTCTGTGTTCTCTTGCTTTTCTCCTTGTTTGTCCTATTTATTTTGTCTGCCTTCCAATCCTGCTTATCCTTGCTACTGCCTGGCTCTTGGCTGTTCAGCTCTTTATTAGACCATCAGGTGTTTTAGACAGGCAAAGAATCACAGCTTCACAGAATTAAACAAATGCAGCATAAAATGAACAAAAGTCACACACTTTAAAATATTTATTTGCAGTTCTTAACAGCAAAATTACAGTTTAGGAAGTAGCAATGAATTTTATGGTTGGGAGTCATCACAATATGCGGAACTATAGTAAAGGGATGCTACATTAGGAAGGTGAGAACCACCTTAAATTTATAATTACTTATTTTTATTTCATCTGCATTGGTGTTTTGTCTGCATGTATGTCTGTATGAGAGCATTGGATCCCCTGGAAATGGAGTTATAGACAGTTGTGAGCTGCCATGTGGGTGCTGGGAATTGAACCGGGGTTCTCTGGAAGACCAGCCAGTGCTCTTAACCACTAAGCCATCTCTCCAGCCCAAGATCCACCTTAAATTTAAACCATTGTTTTTTGCCTCACACACTCTGTTGTTGTTTTTTTTTTTTTTTTTTTTTTGGTGGTGGTGGTGGTTTTTGTTTTTTTGAGACAGAGTTTCTCTGTAGCTTTGGAGGCTGTCCTGGAACTAGCTCTGTGGTCTAGAACTCACAGAGATCCACCAGCCTCTGTCTCCCGAGTGCTGGGATTAAAGGCGTGCGCCACCACTGCCCGGCCACACACACTGGTTTTAAGAACAACTTACTGTGAATTAATGAAATGACTTTGCATCCTGTACAACAGCCTCTTATTTTTTAAAGATTTATTTACTTTTTTTTTGTTAAATGTGTCCTGATGTTTTGCCTGTATATACTCTGTGTAAGGGTGTCAGGTTCGCAGGAACCGGAGTTACAGAAGATTATGAGCTGCCAAGTGGGTTCTGGGAATTGAACCTGGTCCTTTGGAAGTGCAGCCAGTGCTCTTAACCACTGAGCCGTCTCTCCAGTCCCACAATAGCCTCTTAATAATATGACCAGCTTAATGTATTTTTATTTTGTTCCTCTGTAAATCTGTTTCTAATGAGTTTTCAACTCAGTGTTCCCATGTACTACCACAAGAGTAAACAGTATCATCTTTTTTTTTTTTTTTTTTTTGATTTTTACGTGACAGGGTTTCTCTGTATTGTTTTGGAGGCTGTTGGACCAGCCTCGAACTCATAGAGATCCGCCTGCCTCTGCCTCCCGAGTGCTGGGATTAGAGGCGTGTGCCACCACTGCCCGGCAAACAGTATCATCTTATATCACAACATTCACATCTACGGTGTGGGTTCTTTGACTATCTTGGCTACCCGAAAAAGCATCTCAACATCTCTGGAGTGTCTTCCTACTGCTTTTCCTGGTCTACCACTGCTCAGCCACCCCACAGACTGTTGGTAATTGCATTCCTGGTTTACCGCTGGTTCACCAGTGCATATGTTGATTTGCTAAAGGGCCCTCGAGTTAATCCCAGTTTGCCTAGAACAAAGTAAATTCCAATTCTAATTCACACTTGGGGTCTCCTTGCTGCTGTTGGCAAACGGCTCGAACAGTTGTCCCATCCTGATCTTCTAGTCTGCTTGTATGCTGAGCGGCCTCTGGTTCTGCCCAAAGCACCAGAGACATCCAGGTTCTACTTACATGGCTTTTTTCAGAAGCATCTATTCCTATCTCAGGGGTCAAGTAGGTTGGTGCCTGGTCAACAAATGTAAGTGGCCTACATACCCCAAATGTAAGACAAACACATGACTAATACTGTAAGATGTAGCTCTATGCTACTTAAAAGACACAAGAACAAATTTAAGAGAAGAAAAATTGATTGTTTTGGAGACCAGGTCTCATGTAGCCCAACTTGACCTTGAACTCACCGTGTAGCTGAGGATGGCTTTAAACTTCTGATCCTTCTGTCTCTACCTCATGTATTTTGAGATTACAGACATGTAGTACCATGCCCAGTTTTATGTGGTGCTGGGAATCGAACCCAGGGCTTTCTGTATGTTAGGCAAGCACTCTACAACCAAGCTACACCTTTTACTCTGGCTTAGGGAAAGAAGTACAAGAGCAATGTGGTTTATTAATGAACAAGGGATGAATTTAATGACAAATATAATAGTTCTAACTATGTACCTTCGAAATATGTAAGGCAAAAGCTGATGAATCTAAAAAAACTTGGAAAATTAAATTACTTCTTGAAACTTACTAATGTCAGTGCTATATACAAGATTTGAACTTCCCTCTAGGGAACTATGTATCTTATTTTTGTAAAATGCAGGAGCTGCAGGATAGGCACATTTCAAGTACTCATGGGCATGGCTAAAATAATCTGGGCCCTAGGATGAATTGATGCCTCCAAGGATTGAAATGATGTTTATGCTGGGCATTGGTGGCACACGCCTTTAATCCCAGCACTCGGGAGGCAGAGGAAGGCGGATCTCTGTGAGTTCCAGGCCAGTCTGGTCTATAGAGCAAGTTCCAGGACAGCCTCAAAAACAATACAAAGAAACCCTGTCTTGAACCCCCCCCCAAAAAAAGAAAGAATAAAGAAATGAAGTTTATAACTCTTGTGGAATCGTTAGAAATCACTAATGGAATGACAGGTTCCAGATGTTTAGAGATTAAATGACACCATTCTGAATGACAAAAGTGGAAGTCATTTTTCATCAAGTGATGGTAAATATATGACAAAAATTCTGAGATGCAGCTACAGTGTGGGTAGAAAAAATGATAGTAGTGGGAGGAAATAGTTGCTGTTACACATTCCTGATCAACAGCTGTGCAGTGAACAGTGAGTGGCTGACAGTCAAGGCGACTTGGAGACTGACTGGACCAGAAGGCTGTGGGGCCAGTCCCTTTTTTTTTTTTTTTTGATGGTTAATGATCTGTGTCTATTTCAGAAGTTCTCTTTTTTTTTCAGTGTCTTTATATATATCTATATTATTTTTAAATTTAAATTAGAAACAAGGTTGCTTCACAAGTCAGTTCCAGGTCCCTCTCCATTTCCCTCCCCTCCTCTTGTGCCCTCCTCCCAAGCCCCCCAATATCCCCTCATTTCCCCAGGGAAAATGAGGCCCTCCATGGGGGTATCCATAGTCTGTCATTTCATTCAGGGCAGGGCCTAGACCCTTCCCCAAGAGTTCAGGGTGAGAGTGCATCTCTCATTGTTGGATGGGAGTCCAAAGTCCATTTGTATACCTGGGATAAATACTGATCTACTGCCCAAGGCTCAATAGATTACCTAGGCCTCCTCACTGACACCCACATTCAGGGGTCTTGATCAGTCCCATGCTAGATTCCCAGGCATCAGCCTGGGATTCAAAGGTTAACCTTTGTCAGGTCAGCTGTTTCTGGGGGTTAAACCAGCCCAGTCTTAACCCCTTTGCTCATCAGTGCTCCCTCTCTGTTACTGGATTTCTTGAGTTCAGCTCAGTGCTTAGCCATGGGTGTCTGCCTCTGATTCCATCAGCCACTGAATGAAAGTTCTGTTTCCCAGATTCTCTGGCCATGGGATTGTAGGCTGGCACTCCCCAGATCTATGTCTAAAATCCATATATGATAGAGTACATGCCATGTTTCTCTTTTTGTGACTGGGTTACCTTGCTCAGGATGGTTTCTTCTAGTACCATCCATTTGCCTGCAAATTTCAGGATTCCATTGTTTTTTTCTGCTGAATAGTACTCCATTGTGTAAATGTACCACATTTTCTCTATCCATTTTTCAGTTGAGGAGCATCTAGGTTGCTTCCAGGTTCTGGCTATTACAAATAATGTTGCTATGAACATAGTGGAACAGACATCTTTGTTGTATGAATGGGCATCTTTTGGATATATGCCTCAGAGTGGAGTTACTGGGTCTTGTGGTAGGTTTATTCCCATATTTCTGAGGAATCTCCGTACTGATTTCCAAAGTGGCTGAACCAGTTGGCACTCCCACCAGCAATGGAGGAGTGTTCCCCTTTCACCACATCCTCTCCAGCATAAATT